ATGTATGTATGTATGTATGTATGTATGTATGATTTATATATGTATCTAAAACTACCCTACCTAATCCACCTAACAAAAATAAATTTCCAAGAAAAGCTTTGAATGTGACATCCAAAGCACAAGCAAGGTGGCTTTTTAAACTTTCCCGTCTCATCTAGGTTTTTTTACATCAAATATCTGTGATTGTAAGAAGAAGAGAATTTACTTTTGGGGATATTTGGACAATCAATACTGTGTATCTAGATGTAAACATAAAATAAGTGCAATGTGGTTTCTTGAGGCTACTTAATGACTATTTGGCATAAACCTTCATGAATTGCAGTCCGTATCATTTGATGCACAGCTGCTTGCTTGCTTCTCCTAAAACAACACAACACTAACACAAATAAATAAAAAAATAAAGTAAAATATATATTTTGGAAATAAAAATATATATTTACCTATATTACATCCAAGCTTACGGGATATACCTCCCCATCTCCATCCCGAACAGCAGGCGTAAACTGGCTGAGAAACTTTCCGATATGCTGTGCGCTGAGTAACCCTGTAGGTAGTTCTGAAAATAACACGGACAGAGGTGGATTTAGCACTCCTGAGCATGAAAAAGCATTAAATCAAAATGGACAGTTTCTCCATTTCTAAAAACAAAAGTCAGACAAAATGGTCAAAGGGCTAGGGGTGGGATCAAGGAGCATGATCAAGGAAAAACTCAAAATGGTTGCATCAAAAACACTTAAAGGGCAACGTGATGGAACCTCCAGTTTCAGAAGCAGTCTACCTCTACATGTTCTATTCTGGACAGAAACAGCAGAAGATTCCTATTTCCATGGGTTTACGCTGGAATAATTGAAGATTATCCCAGCACAAATACTTTCAGGACATTGTGCATGGAGGTCTCCAATAACTCCTTGCACAATTTATTTATCCCATCCTGCAGAATGGCTCCAACACAGCTCTGCCGAACCCCAAAGAAGCCCAGAGATTGGCATGGGAGAAGTATATCTTTACCTGAGTTGGAGCTGTCATCCAATGGATTCAAATAATAAGAAAAAAGAGATTTTCATCTAAACATTAGGAAGAACTTTTTTAGTATAAGAGTAAAAAAGAGTGGAATCGACAGCCTTAGAGGGTGGTGGACTCTCCTTCTTTGGAGGTCTTTGAAAAAAGGTTGGATGGGCATTTCTCAGGAGTGCTTGGGTTGTTTATCCCTGCATGGTTATTCCAGCTCTAAGGCTGCATCCGCACTGCAAAAACAATCCAGCTTGACACCACTTTAACTGCCATGGCTCAATGCTATGGAATTCTGAGAATGGTAGTTTGGTTATGTTATGTTTATAGCCTTAGGTTGCATCTGCGCTGCAGAAATAATGCACTTTGCCACCGCTTTAACTGCCGTGGCTCCATGCTAATAAATAATAATAATAATAATAATAATAATAATAATAATAATAATAAATAATTTTTATTTCTGCCCCGCCTTTTGCCATAGCAATCAAGGCAGCTTACAGCTAAAAGATATACAAACCCCAACAATTGACAATACTGTCAGAGAGCTCTGGTGCCGTCCCAAACTACAAAGCCCAGGATTCCATAGCATTGAGCCATGGCCGTTAAAGTGGTGTCAAACTGCATTATTTCCGCAGCGCAGATGCAGCCTCGGAGTCTGTGATTCCATTCCTCCTGGATCGTAAACGTGTGCGAACCCCATCTGTCCACAAACAGGATCCCAGCTGAAATATGCAATCTTCCTGCGTGTGTTGCACAGGTGGAAGAACCAAAATGAGCACTGGTTAAATTAAGTTTAAAGCCGCCCTGATTGCTCTGCAGAGGGGCGGGATATAAATTATTATTATTATTATTATTATTATTATTATTATTATTATTATTATTATATAACCAATGTACAACGCAAACTTTCCATACGAAAAAAAAGGAGATCAGAGATGATCCAGCTCGGATTTGACCTAAGGTTCTCCAGCTCTGGGCTTAGTGTAAATGTGTGGGGTAGGGAAAAGAAAAGGACATTATTCTCGCTCTCTAGGATGAGAATTACTCCATACCTGTACATGCTGCAGAGTCTGTATCCTTGGCACAGAGTGAGATAGGGCTGATAAACCGGTTGGGCATGGGATGCGAGGAAGGACATGGTGCGGCTTCTTACTTCCACGGAGCACCCTTTACGCCTGCAGGTCCGAAAAGAGTGAGAAGAATTCTAACAGTGCAATAATTTGTGGTTATAGCTATTAATAATTTTGGCAGTAGCATTATTCAGTTGGAACTGTAATGGTAGAATAATAATAATAATAATAATAATAATAATAATAATAAAATTTATTTATATCCCGTCTCTTTGTGCAACACAACCGGGACGGCTTACACGATAAAATACACAATCCCAGTAAAATACAATTAAACAGTAGACAGATTAAAACATACCTTAAAATAATAATAAATCAAC